TGTCTCGGATGTTATCCCATTTGTGATATGATATTTCTTTATTCTGAGTTTGTTTATTATATTGTTGCTGATTGTGATCGGGGACCTGTGACTTCGCATTGTATTTATTTCCAGACGCTTAGCGTATTGGGTTGAGCTGATTGTGATCGGGGACCTGTGACTTCGCATTGTATTTATTTCCAGACGCTTAGCGTATTGGGTTGAGAAGAAAGGAAAAAAAATAATATTGTATATTTCTTCTCAATCTAATACGTCGCGGGCTTGTTCACGTTCCGATTCCCCTGTATTTTGGGAAGCGGGGCGTGACAAAGCTTCTACATTTTGCACATGAATCCTATGACGACATCAGTTCGTATTTAGAATCTAAATGTGTCACCGATACAAAATGTGGATTGCATGAGGTAATCTGCAAAAACACAAAAATTTGTTGGGGATTTTCTGTGGTTCCAATAGTTATTATCAGCTCAGTGAGATTTTTAGAGGTGATTAGGGGTTTGTTGCAAAATGTTGAAACTTCTTGGGAGTTTAGTGTAATTTATCCTTTTTTAACATCTATGATTTTATTTTCACTCTGGCCCCGTTGGCAAAAGGGTTAATGAAGAGGGATTAAGGAGAAGTATTAACATACTTAGCCTTGCTATTCGATAATCCGAAGGACTAAATTATTAACCCGTTATATAAGTTTTATTTTAACTCTTATGATCATTTTTAGTGTTTGTGAATAACAAGGATTTTAACTATTTTCTTTATAATTAGAAAGATTAACTCTTAATCCTTCTAAATAGGAGTATTAGTACATTTTAATCCCTCAAGAGGAGTTAGCTTAACATTTCTATATATTTTGTATTTGGCAAATTATAGAGGGTTAACTCATTTTAACATTTATATAGATTTTTTGTGTTTGGCGGGTTAAGAAGAGGTTAAGTCTTCTTAACCTCTCACTTAACCCTTTGACAAACGGCACCTAGAGTTTAGGGTTTTTCCCCTATAAATTCAAAGATTTACTTCCCCTCCCCTCAAACAGGAGTTTAAAGCCGCCCATACACCCGAAGTATTATACGGAATTATCCTTCAACTCACTCCGTGCACTTTAGATCTAATTATAGCATTTTTAACTTAGATTGTAGCACTTCAACTCAGATTTAACTTGCTATAAAATGCCGAAATACACAACATTCATCTAAAAATAATTAATGTTCTGTTCAGCGTTTTCCCGAAAATGGCACATCTATCTACATTATAAATCAAAGATTAGAAGCGCTAATTTAGTGTAATTAACTTAAGATAATGATGACAGTTGTCAAAAAAAGGACAAAATTTGAAAAACCAACCAATTTTCAAACTTACTCATCAAAAACAACATGTTTGAAACTTATTTGCCAAAAGCGACCCAGTTTCAACTAACTGGCTAAAACTGTGTCGTTTTTTGTAAAAAAATACCAAACTTCACGGGACTTCAAGTCCCATGAAATTTTATTATGCAAAAAACTTCACGGGACTTGAAGTCCCGTAAAGTTTGGTATTTTTTTTCCACCAAAAACGACACAGTTTCAGCCAGATGGTTGAAACGGGATTGTTTTTGACAAATAGTTTTAAACAGATGGTTTTTTATAATTATTTTTGGAAATGGGTTGCTTTTCAAAATTTGTCCAATTTTTTTTTTTATATGTAACATGTATGTCGTCTTGGTGAAATGGCCACCGAAGTGCCTTAGGCAATGGAAATCTGAGCCATGTACAAGCGTACAACTTGCATCCAATGGAGGCAACAACTTTTGAGTTCAAATATTTTTGTCCAACGTCCTGCAGTGGAATTGGAATTGGGCGCCATGAGAAACAGAGTTTAACACGTGACTTCATCACATTTTTGATTTTACCCCACATATTAATTTTATTACAAACCAAGATAAACCTTAATTATTGGCGCGCTCTTAGTTCTTATCCATCCTTTTCACGTCTTGATTAAAAATTGACTAGTGTTTTGGACTTTTGCACTTTGCCCACCTCCTAAACAAAAAGGCCCGCTTCAAGGGTTCCATCATGGATCTTTGGTCTTTGGAGTTCCAACCCATACTTTCACTGGCCCACTTCAGCCTAAGCCATGATGTCATCAGCTCTCTCTTCATCTTTCAGACCCTTACTAAAAGGGTGGCACTAGGGACACACCCCCAACCACATCTCAAACCACACCCCCTCTCTCATATACTACAGTGCACCGGGTCCCAAATGAGATTTTAAAATTTTAAAATCCCATGTAGGGCCCGGTATACTGTAGCATATGAGAGAGGGGGTATGGTTTGGGATGTGGTTGGGGGTGTGCCCCTATCATTTTCCTTACTAAAACCAAATGATCTATATCATCTATCCGCCCAATATCGTTTCTAGATGAACCGTACGGTCTGAACTGTTTTTGTACCGTAAGAAATAAAAACGCAAGATAATTTCTTTATAAATCGCTATTGAAAATCATGAGTTAATAGTCTATACTTTGTAGCGCAAAAATAATATAGAATTTATATATTACACTTGAGCATTATCTTATATTTGGATGAATTACGGATAGAATTAGAAACTCTATGCTAGTGCCTAATTGTAAACATATATGGTGCCAGTTTGACTCCATTCGAATTACGGTCGGACATTGATCGTCACTGCTGGACGTGTCACATCATCAGCTTCATGAAAAGCTCATAAACGTAGGGGTTAGGCAATTTTATTATGAACATGCTAACTTTAGTGTGTGCATGAATGCAACATGCGGCACAATAATATATATATGAAGTACGGTCTATATACTATATATATATATAGTATATATATACTGAGCTATATATATATATTATGTAATTAGTATATAGTTTTCCATATTTCCCACCATTATCCGTGTCTCCTCTCCAGATGCATGATTTAATGTCGCACACGGGCTCAGATCCTATCGATAGTCAATGGCTTAGAGACTACGAGTCCACTTGTTGCCAATCACAAACGTCTACTGTTTTGATGAATGATTATGATAAGATTTAAAAAATAAAAAGGTGCGAAAGAATGCAAACTATGAAAATGTGAGGGTTCTCAAGAAATTAAGCCGACATATTTTTTTTTTATAGGAAAAACATATCATTTGAAACCATTGGAAACCAACTCTATCTTGCCAAATTTTCTCAAATCTCTCTAAAATAGATTTAATTCCTAGCAACCTGCTAGTTTAGCATGAGTTAATTTGGGAGCCCAACATCTCAAAATCCCAATATATAATAAGTGTAAGATTAGAAATAAATTATGACTACTCAACAATAGAGGACTGTAACCAACAGCCGGTCATCTGGACGGTTGGAAGCTTCCAATATGAATCTCACGGTCTTGGATTGTAATTTGAAAAGGTGTATGTACTCTCCTACGGTTAATAGCGAACATCCAAAATTCCGATTCAATCAGGTGGGACATGGCGCAGACTAGCTACTTATCTACATTCGTTTTCTTTCCTTCTTTTGTGCAAAGGGGTGGGTGGCGTTGATGTGCAAAAAAAAAAAAAAAAAAGATGTTATATAGAAATGACAAGGCATAGAGAAAATAGATAGTGTTTTGAGTTATTATGAGAAGCCAAGTGGTTACTAGTGACATCTTGCTGCTTATCTTGTTTTTGTTTTTGTCACTTTCATGAGGTAGTGAAAATTGATAGAAGAGGAGACCAAGATAAAAGGACAGTGATGAGATAATGGAAGAAATCATTTATTAACTAGAAAGGGAACATTGGGTAATTGTTGCTACAGACTAAATCTCACTCATCGAAAGTGAGCAATGGTTTGGAGATCGCAACTGTTTATAAATGGGAGAACCAAGCTCTAGTTGGCTAACTGCTTCCTCTTTTCATGGTAAAGAGAGCAAAGGCATTATGGAATTTTTGGACTAATATAAAATTTATTGAATATTCGAGGCGTTGAGTATGTTTGGCAACTTGATCAAAGTGGATAATCTATTTTCTGAATTATAATCCACTTTTGCATGCTTGATGAACAGTTTTTGAGTGGATTATTTTGGTTTATTATCCAAAAAAGTAACATAATAAGGCATTTTGAAAGGAATTGGGCCTTTATTGTAATTTACTCAAAAGATATTGTGGGTTTTTATGAAACTTATTGGGGGTTTAGTTTGATTTTAAAATTATTGGGGATTTACTCCAAAATACTGAATGTTCTTCAGAGTTTAATATAATTTAACCACAAGTATATCAATCGACTAAAAACCCAAATGGATCATAACAAGGAATTGCCAAACATGCCCTCCTATTACTCAAATTTTATAACCGATAAGATATGGTCACGGATATGATTTTATAGTGAAATATCCTGATCCGTATCCGAAATATCCGAAAACATATTAGTCATATTGTTATGTTATGATAGTTTTGATCCTTAGAATATAGATTTGAGGTTAATTTTGATGATCAAGATGTTTAATCTTAGCTTTTCAGATATAATGAACATATTAATAAACTGTTTTGTATCACATTAACTATATATTTTTAATACTATTTAGTTTTCTCATATCCATTTTGTATCCGCATGCATCTCTGCTTATGTATCCGCATGCATATCCGTATGCATATCCGATTTTATCAGATATGTATATGAATTTTTCTTACCAAGTTATATCCATATCCATATCCGTATTCGATATGGGTAGGTGGATATGGATATAATAAGTGTCATATCTGAGCCGTATCGGTATCGAATGCACCCTTACCTATACTACCTAAAAAACTGATGAAGTAGAACTCACTTTATCTGCGAAGCACAGGGCAGGCTAAATTCTAAGCCCAGTCTGTTTCGAATGAACAGCTGGACTAGTGATAACGGTAATCAGCCCTCTTTCAGCCCACGCTCAAACAGCTCAAACATTGGGCCCCAAATATATTCTAAAATAGGCCCTTAACTCCTAATCCAAACCGGTCCGTTCTCAGGGTTAATTTCGGCAATCCACTCATAAATACCCCCCGAAAATCTCTCCCTTCGCTCCCTCATCCTGCAGAAAATACCCGTTATCCAAATGGCGGCAGCGGCGTCGACGACGGCAGCGTCGTTTTTCTCCATCGCCGTCGCAAAACCTCGCATTTCCAATTCTGCCCCTATCATTTTCTCGAATCCCCAGCCCTGTCCCTCTCAGTTCCCATCTCTGCGATCGACACGGGGAAGGAGCTGCTATCCTCCCCTCCCGTGCTCCGCGGTGCAAGATATCGCCGCGGAAAACGAAACCCTAGAGAAGGAAGAGGACGGGGGTGACGAAGAGAAGAGGAGGAAGCTGTTTGTGGTGAACTTACCGTGGAGCTTCTCGGCTCCGGAGGTTGAGAAGCTCTTTGGAGAGTGCGGAACTGTGAAAGATGTGGAGGTGACCGGATCTTAGACTCTCAAATTTTCTATCGCAAAAAGGGGGGGAAAACGAAACTTTATGTGGTATTTATTTATTTATTTGCAGATAATTAAGCGGGAGAACGGGCAGAATAGAGGGTTTGCGTTCGTTACTATGGCTTCGGGTGATGAGGCGCGGGCTGTTGTTGAAAAATTCGATTCTTTTGTGAGTTCTTCCTCTCATTTTTATTTTGGTTCTAACTGGGGCTTAAGATGATATGTGAGGCCATGAAATTGCTGAAGCTCTTGGGGTTTCTTTGATTATTAAGATCATTGATGCTATTACTGTCTCATTCTTTCATAGCTAGGGGTATGTGTAAAATGTGTTTGATTGTAGTATAAAATGAGTAGCTTTTAATTTATTAACATGAAGAAACAAATCCTTGCGTTTGATGCGAATTAATGAACTTCTCTATATATACTTTTGTATTTAGGGAGAGTAAATTTCTTGGTAGAATATAGAACTATAACCCTTAAGCCTCACCATAACTTTGGAGTTTTGGTGTAACCGTTGGGGACTTTAAGATGGTATCAGAGCAACCCAGGTTCACATACCACCGGCCACGAATTTAAAACAGATTTTCCAAAAACTGACGTTGTTGTGTGAGTCTGTGTTTTCGGCCTATTAAAAAGACACTCGGGACATGTTAGAATATAAAGCTATAACTCTTAAGCCTCACAATAACTTTGGAGTTTTGGTGTAACAGTTAGGGACTATAAGATGTCTTATTAGCTTATTTAGATATAATCACAAACCCTTGGCTGCATTTTGACTATTTGATGATAATTAATTTGTGATGTAAAGAAATGGAGAAAGCTATCAAATAGAATTCTTGAAGCTAGTAATACAATGTTCATTTTAATTTTGCATCAAGTACTTGTCTATGCTCTAATGTGTTTGGTTATAGTCTAAAGCAAGTAGTTTTTAACAACATGAAGAGACAAATCTGTAGGTTTCTGTCATATAACATAAAATTCGCTTCAAAAATCAGTTTTGTATCATACTCTCTTTAAAAGTACGAGTTCGAAAAAATCTTTCTATGGTCAATATTACCCTTTACTTTTTTTGAATATTATATTGTTACCTTAATCTATTCTAATTATCTATCTTTTTTGAATTAGTAACTAAATTATTTATCCTATTCATAATGAGACTTAACATGTTATTGGATAAAAGAGATACGTTTTATATAATTTAAATCATTTACTTTTTTAGTTTGCAGAGAAATCTAAAAAATATATGCTAGCCAGCATCTAAAAGTTTTTGTACTTTGTAAAAAATATTCTCTAAGTTTTTTAAATTGTAAAAACACCCCTACAAATTCAAAATTTTATTAAAGCATCTTAAAAATTACAAATTTTACTATTTCAATTCAGTGAGAAATCTGAAAAACATATGCTAGCTAGAAATAGAAAGTTTTTTGACTTTGCAGAAAATATCTTACAAGTTTTGAAAATTACAAAATCACCCCTAAAAATTCAAAATTTATAAAAAACTCTTTGAAAACTTTAAACCTATAAACACACTAAAAACCTACAAATAACATAAATAACCCTTGAAAATTTATGGAATTTATAATAAGCACTCTGAACGTTTTACAAATTACAAAATAAAACCCTTAAAATTATAAAATTTACAAAAATCCTGATAATTCCCAACCTAACAGTACATTGAAACTATAGGAATTACAAATATCCCCTACATAATTTATAATTTATAGAAAGCAACCTTAAAGTTTCAAACATTATAAACAAACCCTTAAAATTTAAATTTACTAAAACATCCTGAGAATTTCAAACTCATTAGTAAATTGAAAAGTATAGGAGCTATAAATAGTCTATAAACAATTTATAATTTATAGAAAAGGCCTATAAGTTAAAAAAATTACAAAAGCCTCTAAAATTCATAATTTACAAAAAACACCATGAGAATTTCTAACCTATAGACACTAAAATAATTATGCAAAATTAGTAACAACCCTTAGAAAATTAAAATTTTGCAAAAAATATCATAAACCCTTTAAAAGTATAGGTTTAGAGAATAACTTTTCATGGTCAATATTATCCATAATTTTTTTTGAAAAGAACATAACTAATTGAAAATCTATTAAATTTGAAATTTATAAAAAAACCCTTAAAGTTTAGTACATTGCAAATTACCCCTCTAAACTTTGAAATTTTTCAATGTTTTTTTGTAATTCTTTGATTTTAATGTAATGTTTAATAGTTTTATGTATTTATAAATTACAAATTTTATGGTATTTTTTTTATAATTTTTAAAACTTTTGAGGATGTTTATTTTGTAGTTTTCTAAATTTTTATTTTGTTTTCAGTGTAATGTATAAATACGTCAATTAATGATGATATTGAAGACTAAATTATTCTTAAGATTATTAGGTCATAGTTAAGTGTGCGCATTACTATTCCTAGGCAATATAGTTTATATATAAAAAAATTTCAGACAATCTATATTGTGGTTAAAAAGATTTTGACTTTAATTTACTATTTTTTATAAATTATATTTAGGCACTGTTTAGCAACAAAAAAAAGTGTCTTATCTAAGAGCTTGTGTCTTATTGACTTGGTCAATAAGTTAGTAGAGCTGTTTGGTGACCAAAAATAGGAGGAGATTATTTTGGAGATTGTGTCTTTTGCAAGTAGTTTTTGGAAAGCTATCTCAAGTAGCGTTTGTCTTTGGGAAGGAGCTGTCAATTTTTTTTTTGTTTTTACCCCTAATAATTCTAATTTTATATCAATAATATTACATGTCTTTTTTAGTCATTTAACAAATTTAAGCTAGTTGTATAGCTTTTTTTACCAAACAGTTCTAGTCAATCAGCTAGCTACACAGCTATCAGCTTTCTGCTACAATTTCACAGTTTTCAGCTAGCTTGACAGTTTTTAGTTAGTTTTGCCAAACAGAGCCTTAATGTGAACCCACCATATAATTTTGACTATGGTCATTATAATTTTAATACGTTAGATTGATTGACAATATATGTATATAGACCATAGATTACTTTACTTTCTCACATGAGCTAATATTTGGCACTTAATAATTTAAAATTATTACTTTTAAATTTAATATAAAAAGGAGCTCTAATAATATTTATTTATTTACCTACAGGATAATACAATCTCAATTCCTATTTTTTGCTTGAGATTTATTTCATAGTTATGCATATCAAATTAGTAACTAAAATAATAATTATTTATGGATGATTGTAGTTGGTCACTCACTATGAAATTTTTATAAAGATATATACCTTACTTTCCATAGCTATATGCACTGCCTATGTATAGTTTATAAATTAGTTGTTAATTTGAGATAGTAAATTACTTTTTTTTTGTAGAAATTTCTTCTTTGACTCTTGGACCGTGTAATCACTATATCATCATTCTAGCGTAGAAAAGACCTCAATCTAAATGGCTTCAAGCCTATGTTTGGGTTAAACTGAAGTATATACTATTGCTACTATGTGTATATATTTTTTATAAAAATCATGTCAACACTTTTTAAACAGAAGAAAATATTTTAACCTTTGATATTATAAAAATTAAATATAGCTAATTGAGTGATTACCAAAAGAGAATTTACATCAGAAAAGCGTGAATAATAAGATAAAGAGAAAAATTAATGGTATTGTCAACAGTACTATAAATAGCGAACTATAATGTAAATTTAACCTATTTTGTGGAGCCTAACTACTGGCTATAAACATCGCGATTTTCATATATATACTTTATAACTTATTATAGAGGGTCATATAATCTTATACAATAAAATTAATTTAATAGTAAATAGTAATATAGTTGTAATAATATTTGTTATTATGGAAAATTCTTCATGAAATAGTATGTTCTATACGATATATAAGCTATGCACTCCAAATTCTTGTGTCTTTTATGGAGCCAAAAAGTTTGAATACGAGCATCTAACATTATGTTTTCATAATAGCAAAATCCACTTAGCAGATGTGGATATTCTAGATGAGTTATGTCCTATGTACAATACAATCGCCCTAGGTAAGTGAGTTATAATAGCATTTTTCATTCACATCGTTTGGGGTAAGATTTGATAGGGGCCTTGCATCAAAGAAAAAAAATTATATTTAGAGCACATGACGAAGTATATCATAATCTCTCTGTTCTAATTTTGCAAGAAAATAATATAGGGATTTTTAAATCTCGCAAAAACCCTAAAAAAACCACCAAACACAGCAAATAAAATCACACAAGATTTAACGTGAAAAACCCTCAACAGGAAAAAACCACGGGATCAAAATCAATCCACTATCACCTTCAAATTACAATCTTTTGCACTAACAAATACTATCAAACCCTCTCTCACTCTTTCTCTTTATACTTCTTCTCCTTCTTTTTCCTCTAAAGGCCTGTTTGGTTATTTCCTAAAAAACCAAAAAATAGAAATAAAAACCAAGAAATCTCAAAAAGTACAATTTCACATATTTCCATCCCTAAAACTCACCCACAATATCTAATAAAATATTATTTTTATCCAACAACTCATCCACCACATCTAATAAAATATTATTTTCATCCAACAACTCATCCATCACATCCATCACATCTATTAAAATATTATTTTCATCCACAACATCACTCAACTCATCTCATCTCATATTTAAAAATCACTCACATCATCCAATAAGATTGTGACAACTCATCTCATCTCATTAACATTTTATTTTTTTGTTTTCCTCCCAAAAAGTTAGGAAAACAATTTTCTTAAATGTGAGTCACATAATCCAATAATATAATGACAACTCATCTCATCTCATCTATTTTCTTATTTTTAAGAAATAACCAAATAAAAGAAACAACCTATTATAAGAAATAGGTTTCTTATAATTCATTTTCTTATTTTTTTCGCCAACCAAACAACATCAAAACAAGTTTTCTTAAAAAATCACTCACATCATCCTATAATAAGGTGACAACTCATCTCATCTCATCTTTATTTCTTTGATTTCCTTCTTTTTTAGCCAACCAAACAATCCCATAACCTATTTTTCTTAGAAATAGGTTTTCTTTTCTTTGATTTCCCTCTTTTTTTAGGCAAACAAACAGCCCCTAATAATAGAAGGATATATAGAGAGAAACCAAAACCCTATCTCTAGCCTAACTTCCTAATTGGAATAAGAT